CTCTGCCTCCGCCTCTTCCTCCTCCTCCTCCTCCTCCTCCTCCTCCTCCTCCTCATCCTAGAGGCCCCGCGGAGGCTCTCGACCCCACCTGGTCGGGTGACGCCAGAGTGCGAGGCCAGTGCACAAGGAAAAACTTCCACGAGAAGCCCGGCCACGAGACCCCAGGACGTGCATTTGAAGTTTGGCGTGGGAGCAGCACGCCGTCGAATGGCAGAACCATCGAAACCCGAGAAACCCAGGGCACCCTGGAGGCAAGCAGGGTGTTTCTTAGCATGGGTCTTCACTGTAGAGGTGGCCCAGGGCTCGAACTGAACAGTGTTTCTCGTTTTTCGTTATGGTTATGTCTTCCTCCGTTCTGTCTTCGTTCTGCCTCTGCTACGGAACGCACTCAAAACGAAAACGGTCCACGAAGCCAAAACACCGTTTGGCTCGAGCCCTGAGGTGGCCCCGGAAGGCAACCACGTATGAACCCTAACCCTGGAGGCCAGATTTCTGAGACGCAGGCAGGGGTTCGGAATTCGAAGGGTGTCTGCAGCCAAGCGGACCCCAACGGGGGTGTCCGATTCCCCAGCGTCGATTGGAGCCTCAGGGGCAGGGTTCGCAAGTGGTCGCATACCTGGACCAAGGTGACCCCAGCTTTCCCTTGGAGGCGCACATGGCTCCAAAAGCACCCCTCGCGAGGCTCCCGCAGGGCCTCACAGGGGCCCCACAGGGGCGCGAAGAGCTGGGAGCAACCTCTGGGCCAGGACCACCTCTGGCAGCGCTCGGGGAGACCCAAAACTCGCGTTCGGGGGCCTCACGTCGGCCCGACGGGGCCGTCGGGAAGACGACGAGACCCCGCCTGAAGCTTGACGCGAGAGCTCCCGCTGCCGACGCCCCCCCGAAAGCTGGGCCGCCCAAAACTCGAGCCAGGCCGCCGACAAAACCTCTGGCGAGCCTGAGCTCTTGACGAACGAACAACACACACCCATACCCATAGGGAGGTCGTTGGGAGGAGGACTGGCTATGGGTATGGGTGCGGGTTGTCGGACCCTGGGGAACGCTCCCGTTCGAGCGGGGACCTCCATCCGACAACACGCACCCACAGCCCTCTCCGATCCCCCTATGGGTATGGGTGTGTGTGTTGTTGGTTCGTCAAGCTCGGGCGCCCCCCCCGCGAGCCTCGCGCCTCCCGGTGGGCAGCACCCCGAGCCTGGCCGCGCGGACCTCACGCCGGGGCCGCGAAGAGCCCGTGGCCCGACGACGAGCTCCGACGGCGCCCCCCGACCCCTCGAGCGCCCCTCGCCACCCGCGGGCCAGGGCTGGCGCGCACGCTGCCGCGGCACGGCGCCGCGCCACCGGCGTGGGCTGGTCGGCGGCGTCACGCGGCGGAGGTCGTCATTAACGGCGGCAGGCGGCGGCCCTCGGCGGCCGCGCGGCAGCCGTCGGCGGCAGCGGCGATCGTCGCGCGGCCCACACGGTGAGGCCCGTCCCGACCAGCACCGTCACCTTGGGCCGGCGGCGGGCGGAAAAGCGGCAGGGCCCGCAGCGCCGCCACCCCCACGGGACCGGACGGCCGAAGGTGAGCAGGAGAACGGGAGCCTTGCTGTTGCCCTTCGCTGCGCAGGGTGATCTGAGGAAGGCGAACTGAGTTTGCCAGCTACCGACATTCGTGCAGGAAGAGGAGGAGGAGGAGGAGGAGGCGGAGGAGAAGACGCGAGAAGGAGGCGGACGAGGAGGAGGAGGAGGAGGAGGAGGAGGAGGAGGAGGAGGAGGAGGAGGAGGAGCAGAAGAGGCGAGAAAAAGGCGGACGAGGAGGAGGACGAGGAGGAGGACGAGGAGGAGGAGGAGGAGCGGGAGGGAGATGGGGAAGAGGTGGAGGAGGAGGAGGAAGAGGAGGAGGGAGAGGAGGAGGAAGAGGAGGAGGAGGAGGAGGACCAGCGTAACCCAAGAGTCATCAAATGTGTTGGAGTAAACCCTCCTTCCAAGCTCCCTCTTCATAGGCCCCTACAACGGTTCATTTTCATCGAGGGAACTGCCTCGTTGGAAGACACCCGTTTGAAGACCCTGAAGCATTCCAAAACATTGTTCTCGAAATTAAAACGACTCGGATCAACCTAACTGTTGCGTCCTGACGATCCTGAACCGTGCCAAAACGCCCTTCTTAGGACTTCAGCACAAAGAATCAACGTAACTGTTGCACCCGCCTTGTCCTGAGACCTTCTAAAACACCATCACTGGTACGTTGATGATGGGAATCCGTGAAACTCTTGTAAATGTTAAAAACGAGTGTGCGTCGCGCTAAGGCGAGAGCCACCTCTTGAAAACCACTCGCCCTCAATCCGTGAAATTCTTGCATTTGTTTGAACGAATGTGCGCCGCGCTAAGCTGAGAGCCACATTTTGAAAACCACTCGCCCTCAATCCGCGAAACCCTTCTATGTTTGAACGAATGGACACCGCGCTAAGGCGAGAGCCACATTTTGAAAACGGCCTGCCCTCCATCTGCGAAAATGCTGCCAATGCTTAAGCTTCAGAATCATAAATAGTGAGGAAGTCTCAGGCAAAACGCCAGACCCGCCCTAAAAACTGGCCTCGGGGAGCGACAGGGAGAAGTCATTTGCAAGGAAAAAGAATGGCGGAGGAGGAGGAGGAGGATCAGATCAGACTCCTATGGGGGCATGAATCCACTCCGTGACACACTAGGCGCCCTAGGATCGACATAACTGCCGCGATTTCGGGCCTCCGCCCGCCCTGAGTTTCCAGGGTATCAGAACCCTAAACAACTACCGAAACACAACACTCACTGAAGTCAAAAAGGCGCAGCCGGCCCCGAGAGACTTTCCCTGGCCAGAATCACGGAACGACTGGACAAAAGACCTGCACACGGAGGACAAGAGGAGGAAGAGGAAGAGGAAGAAAAAGGAGGGGCGGCCTGACAGCGGCAGCCGCGGGGCCTCAAGACGCGAAGCCGCAGTAGACGCCGCTGCGCGCGTAGCCCTCGCACCCCCCGTTCAGGACGGCATCGGCGCACGCGCACAGGCCATGAAAATTGCACAAATTCACGAAGTATTCAGTATACAGCGATCAGCACGACATAAACTATGACAGGCTCCCACAAGCCATCAGGCACAGCCTCGCTGCCGCCACTTTCCCCAGTCCGCCAAGGACCATGTCAGCCAACATACACGGATTCATCACATCGATGCGTTAGTAGTCATCGCTGCAGTTCTCGAAGGTGATCTGGCGGATCCTCTCTAGGCGGCCCTTGGGCAGGGCCCCCCCCTTCAGCTGCGCCCCGAGCTGCTCCCAATAGACGACTAGCAGCGCGAGCTCGTCGGAGTGCGGCATCATCACTTCGCACTGGCGCCCATGAACGCGGTCTGGATCCTGATGAACGGAAAAAGGACACAGCCCGCTTCGTGGACTTCTGCCCTGCGCCTCTATCCCCACCACCGACTTCTTGCCATTCGTCTTGCCACAGTTGTAGCCCTCCTTCTCGCAGCCCTCGAAGCTCCCCGCGTCGCAGCACTTCACGCCGAAAGCACGCGCGCAAGTCGAGCTGAAAGAGAAAGGGGGCATGGTCACGATGCGCCGCATCATGACTCCCGCAGCCGGCGCGCAGGGCGCATCTGTAGCGTGAGCAACTGCACACTGGGCACGTGGCTGGCACACAGTGGAACCCGATCAATGCACGACACGCGCTGGCGCTTACTGCGTAAACATCGAAAGTCAGGTGTTGCATCAACAACATTTGCATCATCAAGTACTGGCCCACATTAGCTCGGGCCGCATGTAAAAAAAGTGTCTGCTATATCCAACCCCCACGTTTCTGCCATCACTCGCACGAGAGATCCTGCCAGTTGCTCCATACTGTGTCCGTACCTCTCACCTGCATTCGACGTGATCTCACATGCGCTGCACTGCCCCTCGCCAGCCCCTCTACACCATTGGCATATCTCACCATGATCTGAACATCACGACGCGGGGGGGCCGCTTGTACATGCTGTGCGTAGTCATGAACACGATGGACGGTTGCATTGATCTTCGACCACTCCCAAGGGTCCCTGTTTTGTAAAGTAAAAAATATGGCCCACGACAGTCACGCCCCCGCAATACAGAATAATACTAACAGCACCCCCCCACACCACGGATATCTTTTGGGGAGGCCCATATACGCACTGCACCCCGCACTCGAAGCGTCTGCTCTTTTACCATCGTCGAAACACCACACGATGAATGTTGAAACTGTCTCTTGGGTCATATCCGAATTGCTTGGTCTCGAACCTCGCGGGGGCCACCGCGACGCATTCGGTCTTGAACGCGAACCATTGGGCGCCGATAAGAATTAGCAAGACCACAATATCGAATTTGCACTGCAGCTCGGACACCCTGTCCCTGTTCATAAGAGAAAGTGAATGCCGCCATAGCACTCTCATAGTTCCCAAGGAAGACAAGGATACACGAATACAACAGTGATGAATCGCACCCGAAGAGATACACGCTCCGTCGCAATTAAGCCGTCGTGGGCACCCGTATGCGCTCTACGGGTCTACCTCATCAGGTAATAGCGTGACACTGGTCGACTGCGAGCCCACCTCCAGGAACACGAAGGGGTCACCCAACGAGTTCAGGTGGCACTCGAACCCCTGCGGTAATCGATGCACAACACTGTGAGACTAAAGGAGCAATGTGTGTGAGTGAAGCAATGTAATTACGGTAGCGGGCGAGGGAAGCCGCGCCTCCTGGTCGGCACGGCGAAGGGTGCGCAGGGTGCCGTGCAGCCACAACCCCTAGAACACCTGGGCCGCGCGGCTAGGAGGAGGAGGAGGAGAAAAAGGAGGAGGAGGAAGACGAGGAGGACGAGGGGCAGGGGAGGGGGAGGGAAAGGGCGAAGGGCAGGGGGAGGGGGAGGGGGAGGGCGAGGGCGAGGGCGAGGGGCAGGGGGATGGGGGGGGAGAGGGGGAAGGGGAGATGGAGGCGGAGGGAGGGAGGGAGGGAGGGAGGGAGGGCATTCGTCGGAGGCCCTCAGTGGACCCTTCCTCCACAGCCAGGTGAGAGGTCAGAGGAGGAAGAAGAGGAGGAAGAGCTCATACTTGGTCGGGACCCCATCGAGCCTCGCTACCTCGCGCAGTTTACGATCTACGACAACTCCGACAACAGTCTGCGCTGTCATGAAAAATTTCATTACAGCGCCTACACTGGCCTCGCCGAGAGTACCAGACGATCGACGGTGAAGTACTCCCTGAGGGCTCTGCTGTCGACAAAGGCTTCCGCTGGAGGCTCCGCCGCTACGTCGACCCCGACTGGGAGCACAGCCGCCATCCAGAGCACCACGACTATTGCGAGGGCCACGGCGACGACAAGCTGCGCGGCGGCAACTACAGCACGCCCACGATCCCCGACGCGGCGGCAACTGCAGCACGCCCGCGATCCCAGAAGCCGCTGCTGGTCGAGGACGTCGACTCGGCGGAGGCGGAGGCCACCACGGGAGCACCTGGCCCCGCACCCGAAGAGCTCGCCGAAGCGCGCGGCCCTCCCGGAGCCCCAGCGCAAGAGGCGCCGGGGCGAGCAGCTGCCCAGCTGCGCGAAGGGCCCGACCCCGCACTTCGCCGAGCCGCTGCCAGGCTGCCATGTCCTGGCGCTTCTCTCAGTCCAGAAAGTGTTGCTGGGCATGTGTTGCCAGGCCGTCTTTGCCGCAGTCGGACAGTGCAAATTCCTCTTTACCACAGCGCTGATACAGCCGTTTCGGCAATACGCCCAATATCACCGACGCTATCCGCTACCTCATTCGGGACATACGCAATCAGCGTGTAGAGGGCAAAGACTACATACCATACGAGTCACATTTCCCGCTACATGCATATTGGCTGTACCAATTATGCTCCACGTGCCCCGTTCGAGGTTACCAAAGCCCCTACCGAGATACCCATGCTGTGTACCCCATGCTGGTGGCAATTACGCTACGATGCGTTCGAGGTCTGCATACTATGTACCCCTGTTCATAGCTTACGGCTCAAGCTCTCAGCGTACGCCTACCGTTACCTGGGTGTTGCCGTCTACCTCTACATGTCGCGACACGCTAACTACTACCCGAGGCACGAGACGACAGGTCCCGACGAGACCACGACGTCGTATACCGAGGGACCTCACGGCCGGATCGGAGTCTGGGTCCAGGACTTGTACCCACTCCCATTTACACTCTCGGACGGGTTCTCGTCTAACTGCTGGACGCAGTTACTCGACAAAATGTCGCAGAACCTGAACGGCGCCTACGGCTACCACGTCTCCGACATCCAGGCGGCCTTCAAGCACTTCTACAAGTGTGCTCAGGCCAGAGACGTACACGTATACGAAGCTACTTGCCCAGAAGGTTACTACAAGCCAGCACCTGACGAGCGCGAGAGCATGGGTCCGCACTGGCAGAACCCTATGCCATTACACCGCAACTACTGGTTTACGCGCTCCAGCTACCTGATCACCAAGACTGAAGAATACAAAGACATGACGATTTTCCAGATATGCATCTCTAGTGTTGATATGACGCTTATGCCACAGTTATCGTCTGACCCGACGCCCAACGTCGGCGACTTGAAGAAGGCTACGTCTTTACTCATGCATGGACCCGTACTCCAGCACTACCCAACTGAAATGTTTACCAAGATGGCGCTCTACGACCCGTTCCACCAGGACACCATCTTCAAGAATGGCGAGAAGCTCGTCTACAACCCTACCAAGAACGGGGGCGCCAGCAACTTCGCCCGCTTCATCATCCAGTACAGCGACTTCCAGGAGACCCCAACAGTACCTGCTACAGGCGACATCAATTACCCGCCACCAGTGAAGACGTATGAAGATTCGACGTTCTTGGCTACGCAGGGTACGAAGCGCCAGCGTACCGATTGAAGTCTACCGGAGAAGTTGCAGTACAGAGCTACAGCTGCGAAATCATCTTCCTTACATATTCCGTGTGCCTCTTTACCTTCTGTACAAGACATTCCATACTACCTTCATCATTACTGCAAAAGTCTAGGTCCTCTGAGGACTACCTAATCTCAACCGTGGGGGGGGGGAGTGACCTACGACGTAACCGGTTGCACTCCTCCCACCCGAGGCCCACCGCGACGCCTCCCCCCTCCTTCTCGCCCTACGACACAGCCCCCCCCTCCACCTCCTTGTCGCCAGGATCAACACTACCACATCGGAGTACGGCGGAGGCGGACGTGGTCCACAATACTACTTGAGCCGTAGCCACCTGTACAGGCGGCCCCTGGCGCGGTGCACGGCCTGCCTTACAGCAGGGCCCCCGCGGGGGCGCGCGCGGCGTAGGCGTGCGGAGCTGCGGAGTCAGCGTGCGGCGGCGGCAGGAAGGAGAGAAGGAGGAGGGAGGGAGGGAGGGAGCAACGGAAGCGAGGGGGAAGGAGGAGCGCAGTGGGAGAGGAGGAGCAGGCGGCGGTGCCGCCGCTGTCAGGAGGGGATGCTGCCGCCCACAGCTCTGACACCCGATCTGGCCGTGCTGCACGCGCGTGCAAGAACGCATGGGCTCATGAGGGGAGGGGAGATCAGCATCGTTTAACCTAGCCCCATCCCCACTTGGAAACCCGTGGCCACGGTGTCCGCCCTGCCCCCCTGGGTGGGGACAAATGCCGTCTCCGCCGCGTGTCGCGGCATCCGACTGTGCCACAATCACGGGGGGGGGACGTCTGCTTGGCGTGCAGCGGCGGCGGCCCCAGCCACGCGCTGTGCCTTGCAAGCCGACAGCCTGCCGCTCTGCCTCATGGGGCGGGAGGCTGGGACAATCTCGGAACGTCGATGGCTGGGGACTTGATGTGATCATCGTGTGGCGCCGAAGCGTGATGGGCAGGAACTGGCGGCGCGACAAGCTGGGAAGAGGCTCCTGACCGTGCAGCATGGAAGTTGCGTCGCTGGCAGTGTGGTGGTGGGCTGCACCCCGACGGAACGCAGGCAGGTGTGAAGAAAACCTCGCACTGGCCAGGCAGAATAATGGAGCTCGAAATTGCGGCGGGCGGGTCCGCGCAAGCAAGCCAGGAGGACCAGGAGAAGATAAGAGCAGCGAGGAAGCCTCGCCAACGTACCTCGAACCCCGGCATCTCCGGGAGTCCTCGGGTGCCACGTCGAACCTCGGAAAAACCCTCCGAGCCTCGCCTCGAACCTCTGGCCCCGATCCTCGAGCCTCCAGGTCCTCGATCCTCGGACCCTCGGAGCCTCCAGGTCCTCGAGACGAAGGGCCGCGAGCAGCCTGCCCTCCTCCTCCTCCTCCTCCTCCTCCTCCTCCTCCTCCTCCTCCTCCTCCCCCTCCTCCTCCTCCTCCTCCTCCCCCTCCTCCCCCTCCTCCTCCTCCTCCGAGGGCGGCGCCGCCGAGGTGATGAGCTGGTTCCTGGTGGCTCTGCCGATCATGCGGTGGATGGAGCGGCTCGCGGAGGAGAGCTCCCCGCCCACCTGGGCGGAGGAGGGCGCCCGGCCCCACTGGCGGCGCCTCCGGCGCCGCCCCTCGCACGCGTCGCGCGCGAGGGCGGGGGGTGCAGCGCCGATGCAAGAAAGACGCACGGGTCTCCAGAAGCTTGTGTGTGCGCCCTTTATTATTCGTGTGATGCTTCTTGCGAACAGTTGCTTATTCACAATATCACTAGCATTGTATCGTATTACTACTAGTACTATCAGGATGATGCTGTTACTTTGTTATTACTTTGACTAGTAGTAATATAGTCAGTATTGTTAGAATTGGTTTATTATGAGTAGTAGTCTTACTGATATTGCCATTATTATCAATAATAATAATAATACTAATAACAATAATATAACTAGTATGAGTAATGCCAACATGTCCATCAGTATTGGTACTCCTACGATTAACCGTTATGATTACTCATAGTATTATTAGTAGTAATAGTAGTCGTTGTAGTAGTAGAAGTAGTAGTAGTAGTAGTAGTAGTAGTAGTAGTAATAGTAGTAGTAGTAGTAGTAGTAGTAGTAGTAGTAGTAGTAATAGTAGTAGTAGTAGTAGTAGTAGTAGTAGTAGTAATGGTAAGTAGTAGTAGTAGTAGCAGTAGTAGTAGTAGTAGTAGTAAGTAGTAGTATAGTAGTAGTAGTAGTAGTAGTAGTAGTAGTAGTAGTAGTAGTATTAGTTAGTAGTGTAGTAGTAGGTAGTAGCAAGAGTAGTAGTAGTAGTAGCAGTAGTAGTAGTAGTAATAGTACCAGTAGTAGTAAGTATAGTAGTACGTAGTAGTAGTAGTATAATAGTAGTAGTAGTAGTAGTATAGTAGTAGTAGTAGTAGTAGTAAAGTAAGTAGTATAAGTAGTAGTATAGTAGTAAAGTAGTAGTAGTAGTATAGTAGTAGTAGTAGTGGTAGTAGTAGTAAGTAGTAGTAGTACAAGCCGGAGTAATCGTAGTAGTCGTAGTAGTAGTAGTAGTAGGAGTAGTAGTAGTAGTAGTAGTAGTAGTACTAATAGTAGTAGTAGTAGTAGTAGTGGTAGTAGTAGTAGTAGTAGTAGTAGCAGTAGTAGTAGTAGTAGTAGTCGTAGTAGTCGTAGTAGTCGTAATAGTAGTAGTAGCACTAGTACTAGTAGTCGTAGTGGTAGTGGTAGTAATAGTAGTAATAGTAATAGTAGTAATTGTAGTGGTAGTAGTATTGATAGTAGTGGAAGAAATAGTAACAAAAATATCGATATCGGTACAAAACTATGGTTATTTGCCGTATGATTCGTCATGTTCTTGTTTTGTTTTTCGTATATTGATTATGAATAAGAGTATTGTTAGGATTATTCGCATCATGCTTGACAGTAATGATGCTCGTATTATACATACGGATGATGTTTGTATCATTAGTAGTGCCACCATTCCTCTTCGCATTAATAATAACATCCAGAATACTCGTATACACGTAAGTGTTCCCAGCCTTATTAGAACTGTTGCTATGAATCACACTGTTACCACTATTCGTTTTATTCGAAGGAGGGAGGAGAGGGGTGGAGTCAAGCTAGGTGCGCTCGCGCCACATTTGGCATCGTACACCTCCCACGCATCTCTTCACATTGCGCCGATGTGTTCTCTCCATCCGCCGATGGGTGTCATAGCGGACGTGAAACCTCCAAAAAGGCAACAGTGTGTCGTGCGCAGTCACAAGCGGGGAGACATTGGAGGAGGAGGCGGCGGATGAACAGGAGAATGAGCAGGAGGAAAAGGAGGAGCAGGAAGAGGAGGAGAGGAAGAGGAACAGCGGCAGCAGTGGACGCCTTCACAATGTGGTCCTGAAATTGGCTACCTCGCCACCCTTGTTGCCGGCTGGCGACGACTGCAATCTATTTGATATACCACCACAGAACTACCATCCGAAAATATTCCTGGCGAGTGTCCGAGGCCAGCCGAATGCAAGACTCATTCAAATGCTGATTCAACACCTCACTCCTGTAGTACCCGAAGCTGAAGAGTTCATGAGAAGCCATACACTGAGAGTCGTGCGCCCACCCAGCCCCCACAAACGTGAGAGTGTCAACCCCTGGGGCCGCCCCCCGACGGGGGAGGAACTCCCACTCTCCCTCCATGTGAGGGACTCCATCAGTCCTTTCGCTTCATGTCCCTCCGCGGGGGAGGAGGTGCGGATGGACTGATAGAGCAATTTATGCGACAGGTGGGTGCCGGCTCTCGGTGCAGACTCCCTAAAGCAAGCTTTAAGCTGAGCAGGCTGGGTTTCAGCCGGCGAGTAAGCTCCGAGACTGGGCAATGACAAACCAACAAACGCTGGTTGGTCTGCGGCGAGTCGGGTCCAACAAGCGGTCGGGCTGACGGCTGGACGCGTCCGCAGCTAATCACGGCGAAAGCAAAGGAGGGGCTGGAAGGGATGAGGAAACTGCCTCGGAACGGCCACAGAGCTCTCAGACCATGCGAATCTTCAAGCGGTACCAGAGGTCAGGCTCATGATCCTGACGACGACATTTTTTTTCTTGTGCGACGCGCGCGCAGAGCGAGCAGTCACGCGCCTCGGCGGCGCCATGCCCAGCTCAGGCGCGCGCACCCAATTAGGAGTGGAGGGGGGGACAGCCACACACGACGACCTACCAACAAGCACTCGAACAACGAAACTGGAGATGTTGGAGAGAGAGAGAGAGAGAAAGAGAGAGGGCAAAAGAGGGAGAGCGAGGAGGCCGTGCGCCGCGACGTGTCTCGCTGGGGGGGGCGCCCGCCTCTGCCTGGTCTTCGTGGTCCAAGATATTTTGGCTGTCGGCTCTCTCTTCTCCAAGACGGCGGGATCAGTCAACATCGAATCCGGAAATCGGATCGAATCGAAATCTGCACTTAAACGGGATCCGTCGGCACGGAATCGAAATCGAATCAGATCGGCTGCGAGGCCGCATCGGATCGTCGGAATATCGAAATCGAATCGAATCGGCCCAAAAGGCGCCCAAGACGGCTCAAGAGGCCCTATTGACGGCCCCTTGAGGGGGCCCAGATGGGGGACCCGAACGGACATGTCGAGTCCTCGGCCCCGAGCGGCCCCAAGAGGCCCCCAAGAGGCCCCCAAGAGGCCCCCAAGAGTTCCCCAAGAGAAACCTCAAGAGGCCCCACGAGGCCCCCAATAGGCCGCCAAGAAGGCCCCAAGAGGCCCCCAAGAGCCCCCAAGAGGCCCCCTAGAGCGCTCCGAAGAGACCCCAAGAAGCATCCCTGAGCACTCTGACCCACAACCCACGCACGGTGGCGGGATGGGCCGAAGGCCACTAAATGCGCCGCCCCCTGTTGGCTTGCCGCAGGGGTGCCTAGCGTGCCAAACTATTTCGGTGTTGGTTTTGGTTGTTTCCCAAAAGAACTCCCCCATGGGGCTTCGGCCCGTCCCGCCGGCCACCCGAAAAGGAGCACAATTCCCCAATGTTTCGCTCAAGATGGCCCAAGATGGCCTCCAAGGTGGCCACGTTGGCCCAAGATGGCCTCCAAGATGGTCCAAGATGGCTTCCAAGTCCGCCCAAGATGGTCCAAGACGGCCTCCAAGACGGCCCAAGGCGACCCAAGAGGCCCCCAAGAGGTCCTCAAGGAGGGCTCGAAGAGACCAAAAGTATTGTTTTTCCCTAGGGTTTTGAAGGATGTTGAGATTCGCTTCTTCTCGGCAGTCCGACGGCTCAAGACGGCCCCAGAGGCACCCAAGATCGCCCCAAGATCGCCCACGAGGCCTCCACGATGGCCCCATGACAGCCCAAAAGGCCCCCTAGACGGCCCCCAGAGGGCCCCAAGACGGGCCAAGAGGCCTCCAAGACGCCCATGATGGCCTCTAAGACGGTCCCGAAACACCCCAAGAAGGCCCCAAGTCGGCCCAGAGAGGCCCCCAAGACGGCTTCCGACGACGTCAGACGGGCCAGGAATACCCTAAGACGGCTAACGAGGCCCCCGAGAAGCCCCCAAAGGGCTCCAAGAGGTCTCCAAGGAGGCCCCCAAGAGGTCTCCAAAAGGCTCCCAGGAAGCTCCAAGGAAGCCCCCAGTGCCCCCATAGGCTCCCACTCCTCCTCCTCCTCCTCCTCCTCCTCCTCCTCCTCCTCCTCCTCCTCCTCCTCCTCCTCCTCCTCCTCCTCCTGATCTTCCCCGCCATCCTCCTCCAAGTGTTCCCCGAAGGGTTTCTACAAGGGCTGGGGGAATATATGGCTTGATAGGTTGGTAGAGCTTTTGCCACAACGCTCGGCCACCTTGGCGATTCCAAAAGGCAGGGGGCGGCGGTGATTCGCCGTAGGCGTCTTCGATCCGCCGCCCACTGTTGATTTATCACAGGGGTGTCCAGCGTGCTAAATGTCTCTTATGCTTCGGTTCTTTTCAAGACCCCCCCTCTGGGGTTTCGGCTCATTGCGCCGGCCACCCAGAACCACGCACAGTTTGCCTGGATGGTTGCCTTTCTCGCTCCTACATAGCCCATGATGGAAAAATGTTTCAAGACGGCCAACATGGCCCCAAGAGAGCCCAAGACAGCCCCAAGATGCACCCAAGACGAGATGCACCCGAAACGGCCAAACATGGCCTCAAGATGGCCCGAGACGGCACAAGAGGCTCCCAAGAGGCCTCAGGACGGCCTACGTAAGAGGCCTCCAAAAGGGCCTCCAGGAAGGCCCGAGGAAACGAAAATCATTGATTTTCCGATTTTGGCGGATGCGGACATTTGCTTATTTTCGGCTTTCCGACGGCCCGAGAGGCACCCAAAGATCGCCCTAGGATCGCTCAAGAGGCCTACAAGATGTCCGCATAACGGCCCAAGAGGCCTTCAAGACGGCCCCGAGAAGGCCCCAAGACGGCCCCACAGGCTTCCAAGACGCCCAAGACGGCCTCCGAGGCGTCTTGGGGGCCAGGAACGCCCCAGGACGGCCAAGGAGGCCCCCAAGAAGCCCCCAAAGGCCCCCAAGAGGCCCAAAGGAGGCCCCCAAGAGGCCTCCAAGACGCCCCCTGGAAGCTCCCTGGAGGCCCCAGGAGT